CCGGTTTAACGCTAGATCACGCCCAATTACAGATCTGGACTGGATCTGAAATATTTAATTCTAATTTGGTCTGACATGTTCGTATACGAGTTGTCATGCGGCTTCCTGATTCTGGCTGCTCCCTTCTCCGCCGAATGGCCAGCTGCCTAGCAAGCTACTGCAGAACAGGCGGCTCCGATAGTGTTTTAAATCGTCGTACGTAAATGGTGACCACTCAAAGGCAAAGGTGAGAACCAGTTCTTACTCGGGGGCTGGTGGCGATTGTATGCGGCGTCTGGCGTGGATTTTACTTTTACTATGTCGTAAAACAAATTTCAATTTAATTAGTAGTTTTCTATGACTGACCCTGCCAAATGGCTCCTTAAGTTCCAAGTATATCTACATGTCCCCTACCATCATCAACTTCACAAAGAAAACGAACAGTTTCTACAAGCTGGGTCACTGCCGACAGGCCCTCACGAAACCCATGTAGGCAATCGCTCAGAAACTTGTTACGAGAAAGAAACCATCTGAAACGTTTGAAAACTATATGCTCTAAAACTTTGCATGACGACGAAGTTAAAGCGATGAGCCTATAGTTGGAGACAGATGTTGCTTCGCTGCCTTTTGGTATAGGAATTATTTTACCCACTTTTCGTTTTCGGGCAAAGAGCCGAAAACGATTTCTTTTTGAAAATTCGGTGTCCAATTGGGGATGGTTCGGCCCTTTTTGCGTACTTGATCATTTTTTTTTTTTAATTTGGGCAAGCACGTTTTCATAGGGAACATTTTAGGAAAATCCAGTTCCCTGCTGAATGCAGAATATAAAGTTTAGAGCCCTCAAGCCCATCTGGGTACTGTGGCAAATACTTGGAAAGGAATCCTTTTTGAGAAAACGGGTCTCGAAGTGCGAATGATGTACACGTGGCAGAGCGCGTCGGAGGGAGTACAGTTCACACGGAAAGAACAAGGGACAGACACACACAGCTCGTTGAAAGAACTCTGTGTGTGTCTGTCCCTCGTATATGTTCTGTGTTTTTATTCTTTCCGTGTGAAAAGTGAGAATGGTTCGGCAGTTTTTTAGGCATTGATTCATGTTTTTGATTTTGGGCATCCGCGCCTCGCCAGGAAACTTTCTGAGGTCAACCTAGTTCCCAGCTAAAGATAGAATATAAAAATATTAGAGACCTCGATCCCAGCCTGGTACTATAGAAAGTACTCCAAAGTGAATTCTTTTTGACAAAAGCGGAACCACCGTGGGGATGGTTCGGCTGCTTTTAGGCATTCGTTCATCATTTGAAGTTTGGGCACCCGCGCCACTCCAGGGAACTTTTTGACAACAACCCAGTTTCCAGCTAAAGGCAGAATATAAAATTCAAAGCCTTCGAGCCTATCCTGGGACTATGCAAATACTCAAAAGCGAATTTTTTTTAAAAGAAAACCAGTCTCCAATTGGGGATGGATCGGCTGTTTTTACGGATTAGTTCATCCTTTGAAATTTGGGTACACGCTCCTCGCCAAGGAACTTTTTAAGGACATTCTCGTTCCCAACTGAAGAAAAAGTATAAGGTTTAGAAATCTCGAGCCCATCCTGTTACTATGGCAAGTGCTCTAAAGTCAATTCTTTATGAGAAACTGGTCCCAAAGTGGGGATGGTCCGGCTGATTTTAGGAATTCGTTCGTCTTTTGAAATTTATGTACTCGCGCCTCACCAGGAAACTTTTTGGGGAGAACCGAGTTCTTTTATAAAGACAGAACATACAATTTAAAGCCCTCTAGCCGATCTTGGTACTACGACAAGCATTCGAAAACGAATCCTTCTTGCGAAAATCGATCTCAAAGTGGGGATGGTTTGGCTTTTTATGCGCATTCGTTCATCTTTTGAATTTTGTTTTGCAGCCGCGCCTAATCCAGGAGCTTTTTGAGGTCAGCCGAGAACTTAACTGGTGTTGAAATACAAAATTTCGGGCCCTTGAGAATAAGCGGCCACCATGTAAAATCCTCTCAAATAAGCCATATTTGTGTAAACTTGACTCGAAGTAGACATTGTTGGATTGATTTTAGGAATTCGTTCATGGTTTCTAATTCGGGCACCCGCGCCTCGGGAACATTTTCAGATCGGCCGAAGTTTTCATTGGCGAAGAAACTGACTTTAAGGCCGCCGAAGAAACAGACTTTAAGGCCTTTGCTATTGCAAAATCTTGGTCTCTTCGAAGAATGTGATAATAAGTCGGATATTTCAGTACGTTTTTTTTTTCTTTTTTTTTTGTTGTTTGTAATCAGGGCGATTGGGATATTTAATCTGCTGTGAATATTTAGTCCGTGTCGAAAGATTACGTTTGACATCGGAATGTTAAGTTCACAAGACCGATCATCCTCTTATAAATCGCACAATCACCGCAGTGCTTCCATTCCTTACAAGAAAGGTCACTGTTGTAATCATGTAGCAATATTCATAAGTAAAATGTATTTTGAATTTCGTTTATAATTTTATATTACCTCAATACAAGTCGTTGTTTTGTTTTCTAGCTTATGTTGGTAGCAGAATACTGGAAATGATAGTAAACATCTGAAAGAGAATGAATCCGCCTTATTTTGTAAATTGGTCTCAGGAACCCAAGAAACTAATTTTGAGAAAAAAAAAAATGTACCCGGCACATTATCGCCTTTTGTAATATACTGTAGTCAAATGGCTAATCTTGTCGTTTTCTGTAGTTCTTTTTTAAATTTTGCTTGTTTGAAGTTTGTTGTTTCTCAAAAATTAGTGTGAGCTACCTCGGAAATGTATTTTATTTCAGATGTAATGCACATCTTGGACACTATATATTCTGCCGTAATATTGGGGAGGAATCCTAGTTAATTTGTATAGTCATAACTATTTGTTTATACTCAAGAATAAACTGTAGACATTGATTAACTTAAATAGTATGCGTAGTGGCAATATATCAAAAAGTTTATTCGACTGAAGAACCTGCAGTTTACACGTCATCATCTTAAAATTTTGGCACAAGAAAAGCGGTATATGACAGAAAAGAGTAGTAACATATCAAATTGTTCAAAACTTAGCGTTCAAGCGTTGTAAACATATTTCTATATGAAATACATGGGCTTCTATGGGAGCGCAGCCGAAACCCGCCAAGAGATGGTGCAAGCATACAATGGCACAAATTTCTGGTGATGAAACCCCAATACGGGTTTTAAGACGGTTGGTCATGAATTAGTAACTCTTATATAAATCTGATGAAATCGTATATTCTGAATAACATTCAAACAACGATTTGTTCCATTAACTACTAAACGCCCCGAAAATAGACCCAAAAAGTGGTTTGTTTTGCCAACGCACGTTGAATTTATGTTACTTTCCAGAACCTTTACATGCGTCGGAACATATGTGACGTTCAGCGGCACACAGGGTTGGTTGCCGTCGCTCTATTAAACGCACAAACTGCTCCCCGCTTTCTAGTAAACCCCACCCCGGTTTATGCGCGTAGGTATGCCTCGGCGAGGACTGCCTAGCTGCTTCGTCTTGCCGGAGGATGGCTTTGAACGTCCCTCAAACGGGTGACAGGCGTCAATTTCGGAATGACGTAGAGGCGTCAAAGAGGGCAGAGCAGCGGTGCGTTGGTTGCTATGTTCCTCCATCCTTTTACGTCACTCCCGCGACATTTTCTCCAATGTCGAAACCTAGTGATGTAAAGGCGACTTGTGAAAGTGTCTTTGGGTAAAAATCTTTGTGTCTTAAGAACCGAACTCCAAATGGCGTTACGGTATTTTGTTGATCTAGTTGAACCCCATTAGCTTTGTGTCTCGTGAAAATAAAATTATGTTGTCCACATGAACAATATCAATGTTGCTTAATATAAGAAAACAAACTCTTTCTTTTTGTAACTGTGCTTGTCATGTGAGGTTTTCAGGTATGGTTAGGTGTCAGAAACACGCCAATGTATTTTCATTCTCAATACTACTTTCTGTACACCGCTGCTATGAAGCTTTTACTAGACTATGAAACTTTTCGTTTCGTTGTAGACTGCGTGTTCTTTGTCTTCGTTAGGTAGATTGAAAGATGGCGCTCTCTGAGATTTTAAAAATCTTATGGTAAATTACAAAATTATCAAAGAGGCCTATATTGGAACTCAAACAATGCGAAATGGGTCTCCTTGTGCGCAGCAGCAAAGGCAGTTCCAGCATGCTTTTCTGTGCTACACCTGATTCGACCTTGACTGAGGAAGAAGAGTTCGTGCCACAAGTGGCCTACTACGTTTTGATGTGTAAAACGTTTACAACATTTGCTAATTTTTGGTGCCGTTATACGTACGAAAGTTTTATGTTTTTCATTTTTTTTTTTCATACAGAGGTGGAATTTGCTATAACTAAACACGCCCCCCCCCCCCCCTACAGAAATAGAGGTATTGAGGCACCCTAGACTGCTTAAAACTCTGTGCCATCAGTTGCACATGATAAAATTTCCAGTATGAACATATTACATACATTGTATTATGGTACTCAACCAAATTAAGGTGGGAAACTTTAAAAAAGCCTACACTAACCAGGTCGCAGATGCGGTTTTGATATCGGTGCAATCAGACGTATACACATTAGAGAGGATAAATCTCGCAGGCAGGCAGAGTGATAAAAAAAGGACCGAAATAGCAGCTGTGACACGAACGAGTCCAGTGTTTTCCCTGTGCTTGATCGCTTCACAAAGAATCCAGGTTTACACCTGGGCTCAGTAACGCACTGGCACAAAGCCGACGATGTACGGGTAAAACCCACGAGCGGAAGTAAGTGACGTCACAGATGCCGCAGTGCGCCCGTCGGATCGCAGAAGGCTCCACTAAATTTCCGCGATTCTCGAAATGCTGCAAGCTGCAGCCCGTCGCGTCCTCCGTTTGTATTCGCAGGCAAAGCAGAAATGCAGGCCGAGTTTCCTTGGTGCCCCTCACCGAACCGCGGCAGGAATCAGCTGCTTTCCCGTGTTGGGAAGAAGAGCGGCGGCTGTGAGTGACGACGGGTTAGCAACAATGGCCGGCATCGGTATGTATAAAAGTTTCAAATAATTAATTTTTAAGAAACAACGCTGTCACCTCTCAAAACGGGAACTGACGCCCTCTTCTAGGAATATATCCCTCCTGGAACGTTGCTGTTAGGAGTATTCAGTAGAAAGAAAGGGGGGAGGGGGGCTGCACAGTATAGCAGGTAGAGACTACTCCATTCGCACGAGGTTGACCCACTGATCTTTACTATAGGGGGCTGGATGACGCCGGTGCATAGCTTCTCTCCGAGTCGGGCGCAAGTGAAGCCTCCGCAAGTTTGGTGCTTGTACCAAGTTTGGTGCTGCCTCCGCAAGTTTTGGTCCATTCCTTCTCGTGTCTTTGAGTGGGCTTTAATAACCACGTTTTGAATTAAAACGCCCGAATAACGCATTTGAAAGTGAAACATATCTACACTCGATCAACTAGTGTTTAAAAATGTTAGTATCAAATGTCTTAACAAAATACTTTTTGGATCTGTATGCGCTCTTACTGCGCAACAAGCAGGTTCTCTTGAGCTAGATGACAAGCAAAAATGCAGCGCCCTTTTCGCTTTTCGAACCGGCACTCGGAAGAGTTCCAAAGCCTGTAAAGGGCTCACTTCAGTGATAAGCCACTTACTTCAGGCGTATTCATACAGGCTTGCTCAATGCATCATCCATCCCCTTATTTGAGATCAGTGAAATTTCCCCAACCTCTTCTTGAATGGACCAGAACCTGCGTGCTTATTTAGACCCCAGTACCTTTCCAGCGAGAGGAACATTCCGTGAGAAATCTGAAATGGCGGGAAAAAAAACTTTCACTTCTAAAACGAAGAGGAGGTATGTTTTTATGTGTTTCAACACCCCCTGGGGAGAAAAGTCGTAGTGTCGACTATTCGGTTCTCCTACTAGAATCCAGCGAAGGTGGCACACGAGCGCTGCTCACTGTTCCGCTAAGACTCTGGTTTAGTCAGGGAGAACTCGAGACCCATTCGGGCGCTGGCACGTCACTCTTGTCAAATTCTAGTGGGTGACTTAGTTATCCAGTGCTGCGACCTCGTTATCGAGGAGACGCAGCACTTCCCTTTCCCTTCTCTTGTCGAGAGCAGAAGCAAACATTTAGTTACAAAAACGGCTGCCCCTTTCGCACGCGAGTTCTCTCCCTTACAGCTACCCACCGACGTGAAAGCGCAGATGTTTGGGACTTCAATAACACAAATAAGACTGTGCTTCATACCTCGTCCGGCCAGTAGAGAGCCTAGACCAAAGAGAGGGAGCAACCTCAACGAAGGGGAGTGTTTGCGACTTCATGGCGGTCGCCTATTGCGCCATTTGGTCGCAAGTGCGTTATCGGATCACGAGGACTAAAGCGGGCGGAAAGACTGAGACGCTGGCAGACGACCGACGCTGTCAGCACCTCCCCGCAGCTCGTATTGCAAACGCGGCCCACAGGTCACGTGATCTGGTCGAGCCGTTGGAAACTCTCTGAAACGTAGGCTCTCTACCAGCCTATGTTTAGTATGGCACCGTCTGTTTTCCAGAGACGATGAGAAGGGGTGGCAGCGCGGGCGATGCAGCCGTGGCAATGGCCGCTGTCCTTCAAGTGGTGTCGCCCATTGGCTCTGGTGTCGGCGGAGACTGCTTCGGAATCTTCTACGACGCTTCCACCGGCACAATACGCTGCCTTGACGGAAGGTAGGCCCCACCGATGCCTCCAAGGTGACAAATCCGCGGGGCTCGACTTATACGTCACCTAATGGAGGCCGGCACGGGCCGCAGATTCGATATGAGTGCTGCATCAGCGTTCGACTGGGAGTCTTTTCCCATCCCGATTGCGCTCACTCACCTCACTCACCCTCAGCGATCAGGTGGGAGGTGATGGTGAGTGAGTTCGTAAGCCTCAAAAACTCATGAGTTTGATGTTGAGTGAGGGACGTGGGGAGTTCGGTGTGGGGCGCGAGTTCAGTAAGGGGCGTGAGTTCGGTGAGTGCATGAGTTCATTGAGTTCATAAGTTCAGTGAGTTCATGAGTTCGATGAGTTTATAAGTTCGGTGCGGGCGTGTATTCGTGAGCTCGGTGAGTTCATTAGTTCGGTGAAAGTAGTTCTGGAGGTCGGTGAGTGTATGGGTTCGGTGAAGGACGTGGGTTATGGAGGTCGGTGAGTGCAAGAATTCGTTGAGTTTATAAGGTCGGTGAAATCATGAGTTTGGCGAGGCATAAGGTCCCTCAGGGGCCACGGGTTTGATGAAAGTTTACGGGGCGACGTCGAGGAAGGGCGGGTCATGTGACATCTCCGTGCATTTCCGGGGAAGTTTAATCGACGCTCGCTTCGCAAGGGCGCTGTTAGCTCGAACGGCTGTTTCCCTGCGAGGTATAAGAAAAGAGGAGTGGTGCCTATTTATTAATCTCCACTTTTGGGCTCTGGCTCGTTTCGCGGCGGCTTGGCGCTGACTCTTGCCGCTGGTCGCTGCTTCGTGGCAGGGTGACGAGAGACAGGGCAGACTCTCCCGCTCGCCTCGGCCGCTTTCCTGTAGGCTGCAAGGTACCGATACTCGAGCGAGAATTTGTTGTTTCGTGAAGGAGGCAGACGGGCGCTACGTCGGTACAGCCGAAGGCAGACGTTGCTATCTGGAGCGCGCTTGTCTTATGCGCGTTTGCTAATAGTGAATCCAATATTAAAAGGAAAGCCGGCTGGGAACTGTCGAGATTCGCCTCCATACTTGTTTTAAAACCATCTGGTGGGCTAGTTGGTTGTACGATATGAGGGTATATAGCCCGAAACAAGTTTGTTTTTTTGCCCTATATATCATCATGCCATGCTTGTCTGTTCTAGTTGTAGCCTAGAATTCGGTATAAAAAAGTACGCGTACACGTGTTCGTGCTCGGGTACCTTCGAAATGCCGGACTTGTTCGTAATTTGGTTTAAAGCGATGCTGAACAGAAATCTGGATTCCTCAAAACACGCGGCAAAAGCGTGCAACCGGATGCTACAAACACCAAAACATCACTCATACAACGATATCTCGAACGAATGACCGTATTTTTTTTTTAAAAAAGAGGCGCACTTGGCAGGAATGTTGACGCCATGTTTTTCCGAGAAGGAGAGGGAACTGCCTCGCTTCTTCTCCGCCTCGCGGCCTTGAGGGCGCGAAGCGAAGAGAGGTGAAAACTAGGTATCTTGACGGTCACGCGCCTCGTCGGCCTGGTTCAATCTCGACCTCTTTCCAAAAATACGGCCGTCCATTTGAGATAGCGCCTTACGAGTAGTGTTGTAGGGATTGTAGCGTCCCGCCTGCATCTCCTGGATTGTTTTTTCTGAAATCCAAATTTCGGTTCACCATCCCTTTAAAAGCTGCTACATTTATTTGGTAGCGTGAAAACACTAATTCGATTACAGATTGCCATTGAACAATTGAAGGCGATAAGTTTCTAGATTACATTAAAAGCGATATGAAGCGATCTTTTAGTTTCACTTAATATTCGCGATAAAAAATCGACGTTTCTGACCTGCTATGCGACACCCCATTATCCACATAAGAGGGGCTCATTGAGCATAGTCGGAATACTGCCTGCACCTTAAATTGTTTCGAGGGCCGGAGAAAATGTTTTCTTAATTGCTCCAATAGTGTTCATAATTAGTTATGATTTTTTATATTATTATTTATCAACCGGCACTGACCCAGGTGCATGTCTCAGTCCTTCACTAGGAGCGCTATTTGTCTTTTTAAAAGCACGATTTATATTTATACGAGTAACTAACACGGGGGAAGGTGGAAGAAACAACCCTAAGTAATAAAACAAAATATTTGACATCTGTGCATGTGCATGCGTATACCGAAGCAAACTTACCCGCCGGAAAAAATTAAACGCCCCAATTTTTTGTATTCAACAAAACACATCTCGAAGAGTTGTAGACCGTTTAATTAGGTTGCATGAGGGTGCCCTTCCTCCTTCACAAACATAGCCTGAATATCCGCATTAGGCTATCGGTAGTTACAAGTTAAGTACTCTAAATATACAAGGTAAAATAGCTTACGTTACACCAGTAGGACGTTTATTCATTCAAATTAGTGAATAGCAATTAAAAATTGCCCTCTACCAGAAATAATAAATGATTTTAACAGAAAACGCGACTTTGTACATTTATTTTATAAAAATTTGTACTCAACGTATTGCCAAGTTTTAATACAAGCAAAAATTGTATGAACAACACAAATACCGAAAGCATCTGACACCGATCACGATTTTATGGCAGGATCCATAAAATATAACGTTTTACGAGGCACAGAGTCGGTAGATTAGAACGTTCTGGTTTTAATTGGTATGTGTGCACAACAGAAAACTAGACACGATAAAAAAATGATATTCAATAATGTGGCACGCATAAAGTTCTTCAAAGGTTCATTCTATAAGAAAAAATATATCCACCAGGCAGTTATTTTAGAAAAAATAATTTGGGTGAACGATGATAAATATAAAAACATACTGTCCTGAAATAGTTCTACTCGACAATGAATTGCCTTGCAAACAGTCCTGCCATTAATGAGAATTTCGCAATATGCTACGCAGAAATGAAGCACAATCCCACGGTGGTGCGCGTTGGAATAACAATGCTACTGAGTAAACAGCGATGCAGACGCTCTCTCAGTACTTGCCCGAAGTTGTCGCGAATGCTTGAAAGAAACATTGCACACCGTAAAGAATACTTCTTCCCGAAACTCGGGATGATGCACCTTTGTATGCCAGCAAAGCGCGCAATCCTCAAGCGCTCGGCTGCCGCGCGAGCGGAAGGAATCGAAGCGAGACGAACAAAACTGGAAAACATTTCTTCACTTGGCGACGTGACGGCTGGCGCGGAGCAGCGGTGGGCGGCAGCGACCGTGGAGAAGTTGTAAAAGCCGCGCAATCCGCGCGCAGCACGAGCGTCAGCGCCTTGAATACGGTGAGGGCGGGAACTACTTTCGAGTGAGTTAGGTCGGTGCGAGAGTGAGTCCATGAGTTCGATGAGGAGCGTGAGTTTGTGAGTTAGGTGGGTTCGTTGAGGGGCGCGAGTTCATGAGTTTGGTGAGTGTTATGAATTCGGTGAGTTTGTGTGTTCGGTAAGGTCCGTCAATTCATGAGTTTGGTGAGTTTATGCGTTCGGTGAGTTCGTGAGTTCTTTGAGGGGCGTGAGTTTATGAATTTAGTGAGTTCATGCGTTCGATGAGTTCGTGAGTTCGGTGGGGGCGGGAATCCATGAGTTTTGAGAGTTCATGCGTTCGGTGAGTTCGGTGAGGGGCGTGAGTTCATGAGTTTGGTGAGTTCATGCGTTCGGTGAGTTCGTGAGTTCGTTGAGGGGCATGAGTTCATGAGTTTGGTGAGTTCATTCATTCGGTGAGTTCGTGAGGTCGTCGGAGGGCGTGAGTTCACGAGTTTGGTGAGTTCATGCAATCGGTCAGTTCGTGAGCTTGGTGAGGGGGTTGAGTTCATGAGTTTGGTGAGTCTGGTGAGTATATGAGTTCGGTGAGTTCATTAGTTTGGTGAGGGGCGTGAGTTCCTGAGTTTGGCGAGTTTATGAGCACGGTGAGTTCACGAGTATCTGAGTTTGTGAGTGAGGACTTGAATGTGAGTGCGGCCGGGAGGGAGAGGGTGAGTGAGCTTTAACTTTTCTCATGAGAGATTTGTAATGAATTCAACCAAAATCTCGATCTCTGATCTTCATACGAGACAAACCAATCTTCTTAATTTATAAGAATATAAAAACTTACCGTCTAATCGCTGTCGCTCTGTTCTTGCGAGCAACAAATGAGACATTCTGGCCGTGGATGAGTAGTCTGTAGGTACGATAACAATAGTGGTTGCTTCTTCACAAGCCTTTTAAAGGTAGATACTGCATGGAAATGGGAGACGACTCCTCGACAGAACACGAACACTACCTTGAATCGTTATAAATTACGAAAAAATACTGTCGAAAACATTTCTGCAAAGAAATGCTTGCAAGAAAAGCGTCTAGAAACACCAAATGGCATCGAAATCTTGAAATGCTATAAATTAAAATTAACTGAATCAATAAAATATCTCTTTTGCACGAAAAACAACCTAGAAATTCTACTTTGTAAATGCATAAATTATTGAACAAATATGTGAACGCTCGAATAACGTCACCGACAGTTCGTCTGCAAGTATTCGAAGTGCGTGGCTCTGATGAATATGCCTATACTGGTACTGCTTTATTTTTAGCCTCCTCGAAAAACCACACTATAAATATTTTGGTGTCGAAACAAACCAAAGTGATTAAGTATGTGAGCTATAGAAAAAGCAAAATCTAAACGATAGTCGGATACCTTCGCATAGACAGAGACAAATAACTCTCAAGGATACTCCAAATGAAATGATTCAAAATGCTTCAAGAGCGCGAAGGTTTCGAGACTCACGATGCTGAAATCATTGCTGAACCAACCTCGTAGCGGAAGGAGCCCCGCTGCTTTGACTAAGGAGCACCTGATATCTGCGGAAACGGATGGATTCATCAAAGCTGATTCTCGGGGTCTCCTAGCCACGGTACCGGGAGCGGTAAAGGCCTGGTTTGAGACCGTGGAGCACTTCGGAAGTGGAAAGGTGAGGCTAGCTGAACATTACAGAAAAATGAATAATCCGGCTAGGTGGTGCACGAAAGAAAAAATAATCGCCTCAAAGAAGGGACAAAGAACAAGAGGGCGACATGCAGATGTAATTAGCTCTCCGTGCCGTCTTGTTCTCTGTCCCGCTCTTTGAGGCGCTAGTTTTTCTTTGTGGGTAAACATTTAAATAGTACGATAAGTTTATTATAATTCAATGGGAATGTATCTAACTCAGTTGTATCCCGCCATGGTGTTCTAATGCGGAGGAAGTGTTGGCCAGGCGAGGGCATATCCAATGGCTGCTGAACAAGTGATAGTAAGAATACCACAGAAGACTATATTGCCTTTACCATTCAAAAGGTTTACACTCAGGCTAACAGTGGAATACGCCTTTCAAATGGCTTTCACCTTTGCAATTCTGTGTTTATAAATTTTGAACATTCAAGCGATGAAGCCAACTTGCTCACCACATATTAAAAGAAAAAAAAGAAGAAATCTGTCACCCGTTTAGTTCGTGCTGTGTTCCCCATAAATTTAGAAGTGAGTCAACAGATTCATAATAGTAATGCAACGATTACGTTTTTTTAGTTAAAGAAACGAATTCTAGTCGACGCTTTTTGTAAAGTTGCCTTGATACCCACAATCACCTTTTGCCACATGCTTACGAGTTTTGCAATTCTAGCTTACAAAACATTTCCGAATCTCATAACGCAATAAAAAAAAAAGAGCCGCAGATATAGTCGTAACTTGTTCACTTTACTCTCAAGGCCACAAGTGCTAAATGCAGGGAGACCGTACAGCCAGGATAACTGAGATGGTGTAACAGAGTCTGGCATATGCGAAAGTACATGAACACGAAACATAAATTCCTAATAAATTTCTAAATCGTTTTCGCTGCCAGATAATAAGAAACTTCTACCTTATTCTGGTTCCTTCGTGCTTTGTAATAAAACAATTTTTGTTGGGCAGTCTGAGTGATGAAAATGAGGCGTTAATTAAAAGCTACAACTTGTCGCGAAGGTTATTTGATAAATGACAGGCTTTACACAAAAAACTTTCCAGAGGCTTAGTCAAATATTCGGTTAGGAAGTTATTAATGTCACATTTATAGCCAGTCTAATAAAAACTTCACATATCAATGTTTAGAGCAAAAGTTGTATATTACTGCCAGCTAAACAGGAGCCCCGTTGTATACGCTGCGTCATGGTGCACGAAGGATTCCCCGGATTTATTACCGAATGCAAGGTTCACAATATAAAATATTTAACCTAATAATAGTTCACCCGATATAAACTAAACAAAATTACTTACTTTATTCAAAAATAATGCAGAAAACTAATAGGCAGGGATAACAAATTTCAATAAAATGTACGCCACATTGAATTGTAAATAAAAAAATAACATGTGTGGGTATGAATATTTTTCCTCTTCATGCTCTTAAAGGTTTTGCGTTATTTGTTTTTGCTCACATATTCAAAACTTTGTGTTTTATTCTGACTTCTTGAGTACTTTGTGGTGATTCTTTTCTTGATATTTATATATCATCAGGAAGATGCCGATCATTGTGAGTCTGTAAGTTTCGTATGAATGCATCTTTTTGTCCATTCAGCTTATGTACCTATGTGAATTACAAGAAATCGGTGCCACGTCAGGCTTCTTAGCCCCTTTTACTGGCCCCTCTTTTGGCCCCTGTCCGAAAAGAAAACAAAACGGAAGAACCTGCTGTAGAAACGTGACCTTGAATGACCAGCTCTAGAGTGTCGCCATAGTTTGAAGTTCGATGTGAATTGAAAACCACCTTTCAGCTCTCCATGTCGGAGATCCTGGAACCTGCCGTTCGCTTCGCAAAAGAAGGTTTTCCCCTCAGCGTTCCGGGGGCCTTGTTATGGGAGAGAGCCAAGCCTAAACTGCTGAGGATGCACGGTGGAAGAGCCTATCTTATCGACGGGGAGGCCGTCCCGTCTCCTGGAGACATTTTGAACAACGTCCCAATGGCAGGCCTGCTGAAGGTTTGTCAGATCAAAGGTCATCCACGGGCGATTGTAGGGCGTGGTTAAAGTATATTTTTATTTTTTTATATCTATTTATTTATAACAGCACTTTTAAAGTCCACGGGGCGTTACAGAGGGAACGCGGCAACTAGAGCAACAGCATATGAAAATAATAAGAATAAGGAGAAAACGTCGTTAAACATAATCCCAAGATACTTGCAAATAAGAGCAGTTTTAAATGAATCTAGTGTGGGTATCGATTCGAGAGATGCGGGTGGGTGTAGATTTTCAAGAATCCCACCACAACACTAAAAAAAAGCCCGTGCGTCTGCTTTCCTGCGCAACATTCGAAAAGCCAATCATCGCAACTTACGGAGGCAGCTCAGCGAATGACGATGCAGAAACGTATGTTAAGACCAAAAAACGCAGTCTGAGTTGTGACATTAAGCAATGCAAGCGTGGCGTTTTGCATTGCTTGATGTCAAAACTCAGACAGCGTTTTCGGTCTAAACGTATGTTTCGGCCTCGTCATTCACGAAGCTGCCTTCATAAGTTGCGGTGATTTGCACTCCAAGTGTTGTGCAGGAAAGTAGACGCACGAGCTTTTTTTTTTAGAGAGAAGAACAACATAATGTAATTTCGAACAACACACTTCCGTTCAAAAATCATAATAATATATTAGCGGACCCGCGATCGACAGAAATCAGAAGCCACAAATGCAACAAAAAAAAACAAAAAACATTCGAGCAGTCGGCGTCTGTTCACTTTACAGATGATGCAGACATACCTCCAAGGTGTCCTCTCCAGACTTTGTTAGCAGTGGCCAGATTTATTCCGCCTCTCATTTTTCTGTGATCTATAAGACTTTTCCCCCAAATCAATCCCTAGCGAATAATGAAACGACGGGGTGCTTCCCAGCGCTGTTCGGACGTAAAAAATATTTGTGTAAATGAGCCAAAAAAAAACTGAGGGCAATGAAACGCTCATATTCTGTGAGCGTAGATTTCTGAGAACAAATGCAAGAGAACAGCTTGTTTTTATTTATATATGTACGAGGCGAAAACCGAAGAAAAGCGTAGATTGGCGTTGCTACGCACATAAAGCACCTCGTTGTACAAACACTTTAAAGCATCTCAAAAGTAAAGCAGATCCAGCAGATCCAGGTGTGTTCCCCCTGTTGTATTCCCAAGTCCAGCCCGCCGCTCGCACTCTCGTGAACGAACGAAGAACTAGAGGAGCGAGTACAGCGCGGAGACGGTGGCGGAGACTGTCGGCTTTAGTGTTGCTGTTATAACATGGTTCTGGTAGGCATGTTGGTGCATCATGCAGTTTTAACGGAAAGTGGGAGCAGCTTAAAATATAAATCGTTGTGATCCGCTTCGCAACCTTTAAAAAGCAACGTGCTCATTTCCTTTACGCACGTCATTTCCGTCACTGTGCTGCTGCCCTGACCGCTTCGCATGTGTAGTCAAGTAAAGGAGTTTTTGCACACTTACGTGCATCAGCAAGCAGGCACATGGGAAATTCAAAAAAATGTATCCCCTTCTCTTCCGATATCTTGGAACTACCGCCCCGCCATCTATAGGGTGTTGGAGTTGAGAACAGTATTTTTATTTTCTTGCGTATTTGTTTTCTTCCCTTCAAAAAACCCACTCACGAAATTGGAGTATAACAAGTGCATAATCTATACGACATTTTTGTGGGAAGTTTAACTGTACTCTGCTTGTTGGTTTATTTCTAACTTTTTTGCGCCCAAATAGCACTCGAGGACAGGCTTTATAGTTGTGGCCGTCTCTGCCCACAGAGGATAGCGGATGAAGGTCCCAGCGCCCTCTACATGGGTCCCGTGGCCCAAAACATCGTGGAGGCGGTGGCGGAGGTCGGAGGACTCATGACCCTGGATGACCTGCGAAAACACCTCGAGTCCTCCGAGCCGACGGTCTTGCCAGCCATTTCAACGACCTACAGAGGCACCAGGGTGCACACGACGCCTTTGCCGAGCCAGGGAGTCATTTTGTTGGACGCTCTCAATATCCTCGAGCTATTCGATCTTCAACGTGCGTTCAACTGGCATTTATACCTACGCAGCCAAAGCAGCCAAAGCAGAATAGAAAAAAAAATCTACTGTTATCATAATTAGAATTTTGCTCTTCTGACTTAAAGCTCCATGACACATAGACCGAAGCAAGATGTGGATTCAAACAAATATTACTCTGCTTCCTCCTCTCCTAATTCTCCCTCTTATTCTCCTTTTTTTCTTCCTCCTCCTCCCGTTCCACTCTTTATTAGAGAAATAAAAGGAAGAAAGCAAAGAAGTTAGCCTGGAAGTATTCTTCTGACTGGCTTTGTTTGCTTCTTTCCTTCGCCTTCCTTTCTTATCCTCCCCCTCCTTTTCATGGTCCTTTCTCTTTTTGCTCTTCTTCTTCTATTTTTTCTCCTTCGGTTATTATTATTAGCTTTGTGTTTCTCAATCGTCGTTGCATGCCATCACTAAAAGCATTGAGGTGGATTAACCTCTACAGCGAAGTTGAAACACCTCGCCAATTCAAACTTCCAGCACCGGTGTCCTTTGGTTTCTCACATTTTCGCTCGTATTTAACTAATTTTTAAAGTCTTTTATGAACAAATAAGAGCAAACTGTAATCTGAAATTAGAACAGGATTTACTTTGCGCGCACAGACACCAATAAGAAGCTGGTAATCTTAAGAGCACCACCCGAGGTCTTAGTTCGTAAAATGGAGACGGATGTGCGTAAGGATGTCGCATATTGGCCAGAAACGTATTCCATACCGCACATGCCAAAGTTCAAGCCGACTCTTAGTAATAATTAAAATCACAACGTGTTCGTTGGAAGTGCCTACCTTAAGGTTAAGTTAGGTACCTCCATGGCTTTATGAGTCATGTGCCTTGGCGATAAATCTTTATACAGAGTTCTCCTAACAAGAAAGAGACCCATGCCCGTTGCACCATGAAGTTAATATGCATTTGAAGTGATAATGAACTCAAACGAGAAACCATAGAGTTCGTAACTCAAATATTGTACAGAGGTGAAGTCCAGTTTTCAATTTCCCGATTAAATAACAAGCAAAGTTGTATGGTGGTAAAATCTATTTTTACTGCTGTAAAAACGAAGCTGTACATTACGTAATTTGCTGTGATTGGACTAACCAGTAAAAAATTGATTGGTGTTTGCAAATCCCAGATAGAAGGAAACATGTAGATTCCACCTTGTAGATATGATAATCAAACCATTCGGTTATACTAGAAATAATAGGAGCTCGGTACAGAGGGGCAATACATTTATTTCTACCATAATTTTAACTGTAAGTGCAGGCTGGAACACATGATGCGGAAATATAGACCTAGAATCAGACGAATACTGGACCATCGAAAAATCATTGCACACCATTTTCGCACCCCCCCCCCCCCCCAACACACACACACGCGCGCACACAGTCACACACAGAAATCGCAATGCTTTACTATTTCTTCAAGGCTCGGCGCGGATTTCTCGCGCCAAGCCGTCTGAAAATCGGAGGCTTCGTCCGAAAAATATCCGGCGCTCTGAATCTCGGAATCGTTTCCGATTTTCGCAAGAGGGGAGAAGTCTAGCTGCCGTTCGAATTTCGTTCGCGGTTTCTGCAGTGTAGTCGGTCGTTTTTCGCATCATGTGTTCCGGCCTTTACACTCACTATGACTTGCCACCTACCCAAGTAAAATTATAATACTAAAAATATTACTTTTTGTTTTGCCTAGCTACCAAGTCGAATCCAGCAAAATACTATCACCTTGTGATTGAAGCGATGAGGTTGGCCTCAGAAGACGGCTTGCTTCACGTTGCCGATCCACAGTTCTCGAAAATAGACCAACTGATACGGAAGGAACATGGCGAGAAGAGGAAAGAACTCCTTGATGTCGAGAGGTAAGGCTGTGGGCATCATGGCACATATACTGGGTTCGTTATTTTTTAATGATCTGTTTCTTCTAACGGCGATGGGAGAAGCTCACTATCGAAGCATCTCCAGGCTCGGCTTAAGATGATGCTTAATTCCGGGGAACTGCTCAAGGTTGAACGTCGAGCAACGTTTCACAAGGAGGCTGACCTACTTGAGAAGCTTGAAGAAGCAAGTCTTTGGCAGAAACGTGAACTCTGCTTCTTCCGATGGTCCAGCGTTATTTTCCTTTCAAGGCATGCTTATCCAAGTTATGCCACGTTGTGACACTCACTCTTCCACTAGATGGCGTTGGCTGTCCGCCCATTCTCTCCGATTTTCGTGAAATGCCCCTCTAGTGACGTCACAGCCGTAAAGCGGAGGCATTGCGAACGCCTTGAATTTATCTACTTGGTGCTGGCTATGGACGTCCACCCAAGCGAAGTCTTCTTTCTAAACAAACAACTTGAAGAAGAAACAAAGCATACTATGGTGTAAACAACGTCTCATTTTTACCACTTAATAACGCTCAAATTCATCCGCTAGGTTCGTGCCCCGTTGCTCGAAGGACCTACCCAATGGTAAACAGGGCGGCACTACCTTCATGGCCGCTGTGGACCCGTGGGGAAACGCATGCTCCTTCATCACCAGCATCGCTCATCCCTTTGGCTGTACCACTGTTTCAGAGTATGGATTCGGAGTACACGTAAGTCTTGCACTGCCCGTCTATTCAATATAATTCCTTAAGTTTTTTGGTCTTGTCACTATGGATGGCACATTCGAAAGGCCCGTTAACTTAAAGATAGGCCGGCAAAAACAAAGAAAGAATGGAATATGGAGGTTTCACAAATAAACGCAAAAAACAAACAAGCGAATGAGCACACTTATTCTACCATATATTCTTCTATAACATAAACATATTACTATTAGAGTTTCTATAAGGAGTATCCACTATGCGCCATATTTGTGGGTGCCGTCTAGAGGGCACGCTCAGAACGAGGCCACATTAATAGGCTGCTAAGACCGGCACTCCTGATGATGTGGAATGCACGTTGCAAAAGAACCGTGGAAGCTCGCCATCAGCACGCGCTCAGCAGTCGCGCACACAACTATGGCCGCCAGTGAATACTTCCTATACTAGTCAATGACGAGCTGAGAGCTATAGAGCGCCTCTTTCGAGCGGCCTACTTACAGCACGCGTTCGTTGCTTTTCGTTGTTTTTTGTATGCGCGTGCACACTCGATGCCCCCTACACGCCGAAGCGTTACTAAAGGTCTCGCGCTGGAGGCGAGACAACTGAAAATTTACCCTGCCCTTTCCATCCTGTCAGTGACTATAGTTTGTTGACTCTATCCTGGGGGACAACCCTCTGGTGTAAGGCAGTGAAAGGGCGGACTCACGCTTGTACGGGTACACCTTGAGCGCCGGTTATATTCTTCACTTTAAAGGCCCTTATGGTTTCGAGTTTGTTTCCCATATAATACTGGAAAAACTCTGTAGTTATAGCCTCTGTATTTTAGACGAAATGGTATTAGAAGAGTACGTATGCAGATGTAAGTCACGTCGCTTCAACTCGAGCCCCTGAGAAGAGTAGACATTAGACATGTGTGACAAAGTGAATCACGTCCTTGAGCATCTATGCACATGCGTTTTGTTCAATGCGCGACAAGTCTGGCGCCAACAGGACTTCAGCGATTTTTTGCATTTTACTTTCAAAGGTATCAAGCGAACATCACAATTTACCACCTCGGTAAAATGCCCAAGCTGAGTGATTTCCGCAACTATAGTAATTTTGATGACTCTCCTTCGATACGGAAAGGGGGGAACGGCAGTGGCCAGATTTCGTATATCCATTCCCTTGAAGCATAAACTGCATTTTCTTGAAATGTGTGTGTCGACGAGTACAAACATCACTAAGTGAATTTCCTGTTACCATTTGAAATTCGTCATCACGCAGTAGCTGTGTGTGTGCGTTGGCTATCATCGTCATTGTTCTTATTTGTTCCGAGCTTCAGTAAGACGCAGAATACACGTCGATATTCCCCGCCCAAAGCTCGTATATTAACAAGACATGTTGTAGATGTGGTGATCCTTGAAAGTGACTCTCGATCTACTTCGGAACTCTTACTTCTAGGCACGTGGCGATGGCTTCAACACAATGCTTGGACACCCCAGCTGCGCAGGACCATGCAAGAAGCCTTTTCACAGCTTGATGCCAGTGTTGGTCACAGACAGCTCCTCAGGAAAACTGTTGTCTCTAGTTGGTACTGTGGGAGGGAGTGCACAACCGCAAGCAATCTTGCAGGTAACTACTCTGCTTAACAGTGAGCCCAATTCAAGGTGCACTGAATCAATACAATGTTGCTTCACTGGATGTTCGTTTGAGAAGCTGATTAAAATCTGGGAAATCATGTACCAACTTCGACGCAGGCGCTTACACCTCCACAAGGTGACCGGACTTCACGGCACATTTGTAGGGATAAAGTTTTAGAAATCAATATTGTTTTGAGAACAAAACTCCACAGAACGAATTAGGCTCTGACAATTATAATGAGAAACACATTGGTTTCTATCTCATGATCTTGCCACATAAAATTTTGTAGTGCTATTTCTAGCATCAAAAACATCTTAACTAAAATCTATGCCTCTCTTGTCTGAGTTGCTTAAATTATTGCTGGTGAAAATATTAAATTACAGATGTGTTACGAAGACAGTTTAATCTTTAAGATTACTCAATCCCCTGCCGTTACCATCAGGTTTGTTTTGATCACACCATCGCCCAACAGCACCGTCTTTTGTTCGCCAACTTGGACACTGCAATTAATTCTTTTTTGTTTTGCTTTATATTTTCATATACATTGGATTTTATAAATTATTGGCGCTATTAAGCTGAATAATAAAGCCACGTCGTTGTTCATCGATCAACGGCGTTGGTCGATCTGCGTAGCGGACTCGGACGATCTCCATCCGCCCCTTATAATTTTAAGGCTTACAAAAATTAGTTTAGAATTACGTAAATTTAGAAGCCGAGCTCGGCTGAATTTTTTTCCAATGCGCCCTAAGCTATTAGCGCCGTGTAAGCTAACCACAGGTCTCACCAATTACCATCAGCTTTGCTCCTTTAACCACTGACAGCTTCAGTACGATGCGATGCTCAGGACAGCCGACGCGCTGCGTTTCTTCAACTGTCAGTAACTATAGGCCATTTTCTTTGAAAGTGCAATAAAAAAAAATAATGAAAAAGCTCCAGGTGAACGCTACAAGAACCAAGAAGCGCGAGATCTGTTAAAATGTTTCGAGTATTCTTGTAAACCAACTTGCCTCCTCCAAGACGCTAAATTGTACAGCCAAGGGCCCTCGCTAATTCTGCAACTTTGATGTCAGTGTAGCATTTATGCTTTCTAGCACTGGTGACGAAGCAAACGCTGCGAGCTTGCAAAGACGGAGAGAATGAAAGCCGCTTTGGACGAATGCAGCGGTTCATGTTTGTAAACAGTAAAAGTGCCTATAATTACTGAGACTTCAATTTCTCAAGAAGAGCAGGACTTAAGGAAATGCTGAAAAGGCTTTTGAAACAAACGATTTAGAGCTAAATTTTACAGTGTTTTATCTAGTGACTCTGAATATCTCATTCGTTTCCCCGCAGGTGTAACTAAACTGGATAGAAGCCCCGGAAGACAGGGACAAAGTGAAGGAGGTAGTGAGAACACGGAGCGCATCGTTATTTAATTCATAATGTCCCTGTCCTTCAGCGCTTCTGTCCAGTCATGAAACAACTATCTCAAGTTAAAATTTTGCTGTAATTAAACGCGAGAAAAGACGAAAAACCTCCGACCAGTCGTTACGTCATAAAGGGATCTTTCTCCCACCAAGTGCGTGTCGCTCATATGGGCAGCGCGTGCAGTTGCAAGCTTGCCAGGTATATTTCCTCTCTCTCACACCAGTCGTGACGTCTTTTTCTGACCTTTGTGGAAATAAAAAAATGGGCGTGCACAGCTTTGATAGGCGCTGAAGATGCGCGAGAGCGGAGATTCCATGAAAAACTCCTTTTATAACGTAACGCTCCGGGAAGTAAGGGTTTCAGCGGCATTTTGAAAATGATTTGCGCAGCGTCCGTGCACCAAATTGAAAAATGATCTCAATATTCGTGAACCGGGAGGCCAAATGAAGACGATTTAAGAGTTTTTACTCAGATACAGAACCGCTTCAGTTTCCCTTCAAATAAATCGAAAAGAGCCTCAAGTTGATTTGTCCTTGAAGCATCTAACATTGATTCCACTCTAAGCCTTGAAATCGGTTGGGGATCGTAATCATTGGATGCGTTTGATTTATCTACACTACCTGCACCGGTGCAGAAAAGTGTAGGCAAGCTCACTTCCGGTATGTTTATTGAGATAAGAATGGAAGTGCATCACCCTACGTTTTTCTGCACAGGTGCAGGAGATGTGGGTAAATCGGACGGAGCTACTTTCAGTCATAAGAAATAAATCTTTGCAATGCGTGTGCACCTCTGCAACTCCGGCCGCGCGCCTACACTCTCAAAATCTCAATCATTAGGTAGTTCGTGAATCACTATACTTAAGGACAGCTTAAAAAGGGCGTGACTTTATGAATTAATTATGTTTGTTATTCTGGATTCGTAATTTGTTCTCCGGCAATCGCTAATGCATCAATCTTAGTGGTCGCAGCAATAAAACTCTCGAGAATCACCACGCCTAGAGGTTCTTAAGCTGTCAATGGTGGTAGTTCCCACGACGAAAAAACATAATAATTGGCCGGAAAGATAGGGCGCTGCAATGAAATTGTTTGTCTTTCAGGTTTTATTGAACATGGTCGAGCACGGTCTAAACCCCCAAGAGGCGATTGACAAACCGCGCCTGAGAATAGGATGGAGCCGCAACTTTCATCCAGAGTGAGTATTATGGCCATCACTTCCTGGCAACATGGCTCCACATTTACTCCAGTAATTAATATACCTATTTTATGTTTAAAAATCAAAAACGTTTCTACGTAGTACCGGCAGGAGGATTGCCAAGAAGTAGCAATTGTCGCATTATGCGTTCTTTTCTTAATGATCGCGTTGCAATTCAACGCACAGTTGCTGCTAAAGTCACCGAGATCTTAAGCGTGGTAAGTACTGAGCAGCTTGTTATTGGTCCGCAGTGAATAAGATTGCGACCTCTCACCTCTGAGCAAGTGATGCGGCAAAACCAACACCTGCGTTGCTGAAAGCGTGAGTTTTCTTCAGGACTAGGTAACGATGGTGTAAACCTAGTCCATCTGTTGCGCAAGCGAAGGGATCCAAAACCCGCAGCGGGGTGGCCATACCATACCCGCGTTCAGCAACGGCAGCGTACAGAGTGTGCGACAGGATGTAAGCGTCAGCGTCCCGTTCCGTCCACGTGTATACGGGCTCTAGGGACTCATCGGTCCTCGGAGGGGGCGGCAGCTCAGCGAGCAAGCCCGCTTGAATAGTTTGCGCCTCAAGGCAAGCTGGACATGTACAAGCCCCCTTAAATGTCTCCCGCCTCATCCCCAGCCAGGTTGTGACGCGACATAACTTATTAAATGTCTTGCTGTCACTGCCACGACCGGCCAGAGCGAAGTCGAAAAAAGAATCCCATAAATCACCTCCGTAGCTTTCTAGAAACCACCCGCCATGAACGGAAAGGCGTCACTCTGTCCTTCATTCACTGTTGGGATGACGCGAAGCAACAAGCCGTCTTGGTCCAGCAGATACGAATCGTAGTGCTCATTAACTCGCCCGCCAGCGTCCCCGGTGTCAACTGCTATTCCCGCAATTTTTCAGACGCCTGCTAACAAACTCGTCCGCCCGCGTTCCCGCTGTGAATTGCTGTTCCCGCAATTTTTCCAACACCCGCTGACATCTGCCCCCTGGGCCTCGAAAAGCGCTTAATTTTTCACCGTATCACCCCAAGCCTAAATCCTAAATCTGTCTTCTCGGTTCAAATCCTAAATCCTAAACACTAATAAAACCAAATCCTAAGTCTGCAACGAGTCCTGGGTGTTTCGTTCCTGCCCAGTCGTTATCCTAACTTCCTGCGAACATGCGGTGTTTCTTCTCTGCCTCCAAAGTCGACTTACTTACATCTTACCCACGCTCCTCGCCACCACCCCTGTTGCATCACCGCCTCCCAACCACTATTCTGGGGTGCTCAAGAGAGTGCGTCCTCAAACTCGACCTTCGAGTCGTTTCGGTACTCGATTCGAGGAGGCACCTGCTAAGCACTGCTGTAAGGCAAGTCGCCAATATTCCAACAGACTTTGTCTCAACGGGCATCGTTAGCGTTAGTGAACAACCCGCTCAACGATTCCTTGGGACTCACTGGGGGCGAACAGAAGCAAAGACATACTCACCGAGCCCCACGTTGGGCGTCGTTTGTGGTATTCTTTGTTGTAATCTCGCTCTATTAATAATCGCCACCCGATCGGTGTGTGCTTCGTTCGTTTCCCAGGGAGTGACGCACTGCAACGAGAAGACAGCGAAGTGGTTTACAGTACTTCCCGGTTACCCGTCCTCGAGAGCCGGCACGCCGGGCCCGCAGACCGCGGTTGTCTGGTAGGATAGCCTCACCTGTCACAACGCGTCGTTCAGAGCTCGCAGTCGGAGTCCGTGTCCAGGCCTGCGGATCGTCCTTCCCACGCCAGCGCTGCGTAGGCTAGCTGTCCCGGGCTATCGTAGTTCGGGTCTTGGTGCGGAATCATTCTGGGATTGCCATGGTCCAGGCCGGTATGGCTAGGACTCTCCCTTTCATTCGGTCCTGGTCAGAACCTCGCTGTTGGGCGAGGCTGCCTGGCCCCAGCCTCGCACAGCACTCACAGTCTGGCGCCAGCTCGTGACTCTTCGGTCGACCGTCTGTCACGTGCCCTCCGCCCCGTTTTTTCCACCCATGTTTCCCACAGACTTTAAAGCCATGTGATGCAATGTAATTAGCTGTTTTAGGAGTACGCCGAAACCGAGCACAATGTGCAGACTGTGTAGGAGAACGCAATATTGTAATGGAATAATATATAGGTGAACGATAAACAAGAATAAGTTGCTTGATCAAAACAGTCTCTTCTGGACTTGGGCTAAAACACCTACCACGAAAGCATGCCAACAAAGGTTTTATTTGCAATAAGTCCGCAGTCATTGAAAGCACACACAAGCCAACAGACAGGTTTTGCTACCTTGGGAGCTCTCGCATACACAACAACCTCCGGCCAATAGATCGGTCATTCTATCAGTCTTTCCTAGTCTCAGGGTGCAGCCGACTGAACTCCACGCAGAGCTTGGCTGCTATGAACTAGTACAACTCGGCGTTCCGCGATGCACTACCGGGCGCTTCTACTAAATTTGGCGTTTTCATGTTTCAAACTTCACTGTACTTTAATAAAGGAGGTTACCAAGGCCCCGTGATTGAAACAAAAGGGAGGCGATGTTAGCGGCCTTTAATGCCCCCAGAAATAACTCTTACAGAGTGATTTACAAAGTTTTTGTGGTTGACACAATGGGTGGCCCCTTTGTTACCCCCCCCCCCCCTCCCCCTTACCTTCAGGCTCGCCCCAATGGTAGCTCCTACAATAACTTTAATAAACCACGTTCGATCTCAGTCGACCAATTGGCACCTTGGCCTCTTTTCTGTTTTAGGAATTGGCCTTAAGCGAATTGCCCTATCAGACAAATGTTTCTTGTAAAAAATTGTCCGTCGACAAGTGGGCCTTCAACGAGTTGGCCTAATTCAACAGGACACACATGTCTAAAGAAGGTACACATCAACACCCAAACCAGACTCCGCACCAAAGAGTTGGTAGATTGCATCCTGATACGCACAAGAAGAACGAACACGGTCAAAGCGAACCACCGAACGAGCCCTAAGCAACAAAAGGAACGAGGTAAACCAACTACTCACAAAACATAGAAATTGAAAGACGTTTACAAATATCTTTAATGCTAAATTAGAGCTCAGGTCTTGAGGTATTTTGATTTTGTGATATACCGTGACAAAGAATTTGGGGAAGAAATATCTGTATGTACGTACGTATATAGACCTCGTAATCCTGTGTACATAATTAGTTTTAATACATATATATATATATATATGTTTATATATATATGTATAAATTAATTCTATTAAATATGACCGGGCATTGCGGTGTTGTTTGGAAGAAACCAGACTAAAACCTGCCTTCTTGACTAAACACCCCGACTTGAGCTGCACCAAAAGAGCCGGGAAAGGTGTCTACGAGCAGTTTTCACGTGTTTTCTGCCTGCACAGTTCGTCTGCAAACGTAAATAAGTGCCGTAAAAAAACAATAAAAAAACCAACAACAGACGTCGTTGGACCGCGATTGCTTCTACGGGAAGCATTTCGGGTTGAATTTATGGAGACTTTTGGTGGTCATATTTTATTTTTCAATATGAGCGTGGGAAAACTCTTCCGAACCACTCGCAAACCACGCTCAGTGCGTCTTGTTTTTCCAACGACCGTGCGTTCGTTCAAACTGTCGTACGCCCTTTCAAAGTCCTCTGCTTTTGCAAACTGTCGTCTTCTATTTCGAGCGATAACGGCCCGGAGACCACGCGTTGACGTAATTGCGATCAGAAGGTGCTGCAGGCCTCACAAGACTTTTAATTTTGAAGATTCGTGGTAAGTAGGCTGGTTGTAAAGAGTGAATAAAAAAGTATGTTTATGATTGTTACCGGTGGCCAGCACCGACTTGTTACGCCCGATTCACATGGTCCGATTGTGCTTTCGATTTTTAGTGTCGACGTTGGGCATAGCAGCTACCGCCAAAGCCTCTTTTGCAGTCCGGGTGACGTCGCGACTGAAAGTAGCGATCAGAATCTCATCACCTGGGGCAACCACAGGGAATATATCGCGGCATGTCACATTATTCGCGCGAAGTTTTGCGGTCTAACGAGCCTCGTTAATATTTTCGAATCAGCTAAAGCAGTCAGACATTGCTAGGAAGACGTAGACTCAACAATTTCAAAGCGCAAAAGGGTACGGGGACTCACACCGACGCCGACCACATCGCATTTCAATCGTTTGTTTATGGGCGACGGCGGGCTTCTTGCCATACTCTATCGGACATGCGCTGCACCAGCAGCGTCCGCTAGGGCACTCCGGTTTGTTTGTAAACATGAGGTGATGTACTAATCCCAGGCGTGGTGGTTCCTATGCGTAAGGTAAGGAGGGAGCTTGTCCCTCCAAAAGACAGACGACCTTGCGACCAGTTTTCCGGTGAGGAACAGCCCCCTGTGCCGAGTGTCCCTATGGCCAAATTGCCTAGATCCAGAACGCCGATGTGTTGTCCTGTGACAAGTTTTCCGGTGACGAGTGCGCCGGTTCCCCCCAAAATTAAACAAAGGAGCATTGGTAGATCCTTCGGGAATTCGTTAGCTTCGCCCTTGGGAAGCGCCATCACATTCCCGTTTGAGAACCGCCTTACGCTAACCCTTTCACTTTTTGCTTTTAGAGCGCAGCTCTTAGGGGCCCGTTTCCAGCCTGAGCGGCGTCGGCGTCGCCGTTGGCGTAACCGCGCCCCCCCCTCTCCTCCTCCTCCCCTCCTCCTCCTCCCCCCTCCCCCTCCTCCCCCTCCTTCTCCTCCTCCTCCCCTCATTGTGTAGTACGGTCCGGGCGGGTCACGTGACCTCGGGGGGAGGGGGTCACATGACCCGTTTCCAGCCTGTGCGGCGTCGGCGTCGGCGTTGGCGTCGGCGTCGCCCCTCCCCCTCCTCCTCCTCCCCCTCCGCTCCTCCTCCTCCCCCTTCCTCCCCCGCCAAGGTCACGTGACCCCGGGGGGTGACTCCCCTCCCCCGCCGAAGTCACGTGACGGCCCGCCCAAGGTCATGTGATCCCGTCCCCTCGAGGTCACGTGACCTCGGGGGGAGGGGTAAAGGAGAGG